AGAACAAAAAAATTATTAGTTTGATTTATTTATTAATACAATCAGTGTTCATAATTTTTTTTTTAAAATTATTGGTTTGATTTATTTGTTAATATAATCAGCGTTTTAACCGTTTGTAAAAATATACGAATGTTGAGAGCATGGATGGACGTGTCTAGAACTTGAAGAATTTGATTTTGCCCAATATGAAAAATAAATAAAATAAAAAATAAAAAATAAAAAAATTCCCAATTTTGAAGAAAATAGAAAAGTTTAAAGTTGTTTGCGGTTTCTAAATTTAAAAGGATAAAAAAATATATTTAAAATATCGGTAAAAAATTGGGAGCTTTTTCTATAAATCCATCTTTAATTACTTATGTTCCATCCAATTCATATTCTTTTTGACTATTCCATTAGGTCCTATTTGAGATAAGAAGACCAAAATACCATTTTCATCTACTTATGTTCTATTTAGTTCATATTATTTTTTTATGTTTCAATAAGTCCTATGGGTGACATAATTACCAAAATACCCCTAATGTGAATGTTCACACCGTCAATGTGAATGTTCATATCGTCAATGTGTAGGGGCCCGACCTATGTATAATGTGAATATTCACATTGACATGTTAACATTCACATTGATAGGAGTGTAAAATTAGCTCGCGACCTGTGGGCGGCCCGGGCAAGCCCGGTCCAGCCCGTGACAATGTGAATATTCACATTGACATATTAACATTCACATTGATAGGACTGTAAAATTTGCCCGCGGCCCGAAGCCTGCTCGTTGTCGGGGTGGGCCCGACCCGTTGATAATGTAAATATTCACATTGACATGTTAACATTCACATTGATAGGAGTGTAAAATTGATTCACATTGACATGTTAACATCCACATTGATAAGAGTATAAAATTGGCTCGCGGCCCATTGGCGGCCAAAAGCCCACCCCCCGCCCGGGGCGGGCCCGGCCCAGCTCGTTGACAATGTGAACATTCACATTGACATGTTAACATTCACATTGATAGGAGTGTAAAATTAGCCCGTGCCTCGTGGCTGCCCGAAACCTGCCCACAGCCCATGGGCGGCCTAAGGCGGGCCTGGCCCGGCCTGTTGACAATGTGAATATTCACATTGACATGTTAACATTCACATTGATAAGAGTATAAAATTGGCCCGTGCCCCGTGGCTGCCCGAAACCTGCCCACAGCCCATGGGCGGCCTAAGGCGGGCCTGGCCCGGCCTATGTATAATGTGAATATTCACATTGACATGTTAACATTCACATTGATAGGAGTGTAAAATTAGCTCGCGACCTGTGGGCGGCCCGGGCGAGCCCGGTCCAGCCTGTGACAATGTGAATATTCACATTGACATATTAACATTCACATTGATAGGACTGTAAAATTTGCCCGCGGCCTGTAGGCGGCCCGAAGCCTGCCCGTTGTCGGGTGGGCCCGACCCGTTGATAATGTAAATATTCACATTGACATGTTAACATTCACATTGATAAGAGTGTAAAATTGACTCGCGTCCTATGGGCGGCCCGAAGCCCGTGGGCGGCCCGGGGCGAGCTCGGCCCGGCCCGTGACAATGTGAATATTCACATTGACATATTAAGATTCACATTGATAGGAGTGTAAAATTGGCCTGCGGCCCGTGGGCGGCCCGAAGCTGGCCCGCTGCCCGGGGCATGCCCGGCCCGGCCCGTGACAATGTGAATATTCACATTGACATATTAACATTCACATTGATAGGAGTGTAAAATTGGCCGGAGTGTAGAATTGGCCCGCGGCCCGAAGACGACAGCCTCGGGTCGGGCCAGTGGGCCTAGGCCTAGGCTCGAGCTTAGGCCGGGCTTGGGCAGGCCTGGCCATTTTTTTTAATTCTTTTTAATTTTTTTTACCAAAATTTTATTATTTTTCACAAAAAAAGACATTGTGCCACAAGCGGGCTGGATCTTGGACCGAGCCTTGAATGGGCCTTAAGCGGGCCGATGGGCTGGGCCGGGCTTCAAAGTGATGGCCTAAGCCCTAGCCTAGGGTCTCGGACATGCTCGGGCCTCGACCCAAACGAGCGTGCCCCGGGTTGTAGGCGGGCTTCGAGCAGCCCACGGGCGGTGGGCCAATTCTACATTCCTATCAATGTGTATGTTAACATGTCAATGTGAATATTCACATTGTCAACGGGCTGGGCCGGGCCTACCCCGGGCCGCGGGCGAGTTTCGGGCAGCGGACAAATTTTACATTCCTATCAATGTTAATGTTAACATGTCAATGTGAATGTTCACATTGTCACGGGTTAGGCCAAGCCCGCCTCGGGCTGCGGTCGGGTTTCGGGCCGCCCACGGGCTGCAGGCCAATTTTACACTCTTATCAATGTGAATGTTAACATGTCAATATGAATATTCACATTGTCAATAGGCGGGACCGGACACGCCCCGGGCTGCGGGCAGGCTTTTAGCCGCCCATGGGTCGCGGGCCAATTTTATACTTTTATCAATGTGAATGTTAACATGTCAATGTGAATATTCACATTGTCAACAGGCCGGGCCAGGCCCGCCTTAGGCCGCCCATGGGCTGTGGGCAGGTTTCGGGCAGCCACGGGGCACGGGCCAATTTTATACTCTTATCAATGTGAATGTTAACATGTCAATGTGAATATTCACATTGTCAACAGGCCGGGCCGAGCCCGCTCCGTAGGGCTGAGCAACGAATCCGTAAAATCCGTAATCCGATCCAGTCCAGTCCAATCCGATAGGTTTGGATTGGTTTTTTGAATCCGCGGTCTGGTTCCGGATTGAAGAATTAAAAATCCGTAGTCCACGGATTGGTTCCGGATTGAACCCCACGGTTCCGGATTGGAATCGATCCGGACCGTATACAAATAGTCTATATTTTTATTATACATCCTCCCCAATAGTATCTTCTCTTATTCTATATAAAATCTAAACTCAAACCTAAAACCGTATAATATCTTATTTTATTACTTTTGTTTGTATTTTCTTATGGTTGTTTAAATTCAAGAACAGTATGTTACTATTATAGAAAAACATGTTGCTATTATGGAACTGATATAGCGCTATATTTATATTTTTATGAAATTAAAGTGTTATATATAAATATATATTTTTGTTATTTAATTATGTGAATCCGTGGTCCTAAACCGATCCAATCCGTATTTAAATAGATTGGTTCGGATTGGTTCCATGATTTAAACGGATTGGATTGGTTCTAATTTTTCAGGAACCGTAAATAACAGATTGATCCTGATTTTATCTCAATTCGATCCAATCTGAACCATGCTCACCCCTACATTTCCCTTTCATACCTACTATATAAAATAATTAAATTATATAGATAATCAATTTTAGGGGTTGTTAAAAAAAAATAAAAAATAAATAGAGTTTGAGCTTTACAACAAAGTAATTAATGTGAATGTTAACATGTCAATGTGAATATTCACATTGTCACGGGTCAGGCCAAGCCCGCCTTGGGCTGCGGTCGGGCTTCGGGCCGCCCACGGGCTGCGAGCCAATTTTACATTCTTATCGATGTGAATGTTAACATGTTAATGTGAATATTCACATTGTCAACAGGCCGGGTCGGGCCCGCCTTGGGCCACTGGCCAATTTTATACTCTTATCAATGTGAATGTTAATATGTCAATGTGAATATTCACATTGTCAATAGGCCGGGTCAAGCCCGCTCCGGGCTGCCTACGGGCCGTGGGCGGGTTTTGGACAGCCACGGGGCGCGGGCCAATTTTATACTCTTATCAATGTGAACATTAACATGTCAATGTGACTATTCACATTGTCAACAGGGCGGGCCCGCCCCGAGCAGCCCATGGACCGTGGGCGGGTTTCGCGCCGCCACGGGACGCGGGCCAATTTTACACTCCTATTAATGTGAATGTTAACATGTCAATGTGAATATTCACATTGTCAACAGACCGGGCCCGCCCCAACTCGCAGACGGGTTTCAGGCCGCCCACGTGCCAATTTTGCATTCCTACCAATGTGAGTTTTAAAATATGAATGTTCAAATCAAAAAATTGCTAACCGTTCAAAAAATATTTATAAGGGTATCAAAATTAAATATAAGGGCATAAGTGTCCAAGAAAATAGTGTAAATCAAGAAAAATGACTTGATGGAATAAAACTAGACATACATGGGACTAAATGGGTTAAAAAATTCCTTCATGGACTTCTTGGGTTAAAACACTTCTAAATGGGATTTATCAATAATTTTTCCTAAAAAATTAGGTTGTTTGTTTGCTTAATTTTGTGTATGTGTTTTTCTATGTTTTTTATTTAAAATAAAATTCACTGCTCTTAAAAAAATTATATAAAATGAGTATCTTCGATTAAACAATTAAAGTTTTTTTTTCGTTCAAAAAAAAAAAAAAACTTTAATTGTTTAGACTTAGGCTTTTGGGAAGTTTGGTTTGTGTTTTTTATTTTTTATTTTTTTCACTAAAAGGTAAATTGGTTACAAAACCAAAAAAAAAAAAAAAAAAACCAATCCAAACAAAATATCACATCAAATTCCATAATTATTTTATTTTTTCTCTCACAAATATCACATCTAACCACAAAAAAACCCAACTATCTTCCTAAACACAAATTTTTTTTTCTCCAATAATATCCTATAACTAAAAAAACCTACAAAAAAACTCACTTCTCAAACACCCACTTAGACTTAAATAGTTTGGGATTTTTTCACTTTTTCAAGCTTTTGTTTGTTTTTACAAAAAAAAAAATAAATAAATAAAAATGATTTGTTTGTTTACTTTTGTGTGTGTTTAAAAAAAACATGAATTTCATATTATAATTATACCAAATCTTTTTCACTGTAAATGTTCCAAGAATATGGGTTTCTGTTTTGTTATTTTGTGTGTACCATTATTACTTACACTTTTTATTTTCTTCATTAAAAAGTAAAAGAGAAAAAATTATGTTAATAGATTTCTTGGAGAAAAAAATTGACTATTATTTTCCTTTGTTTATATTTTTTGCAGGTTGCTTTATAACTTTATGTTGTTCAGAATAAACTATTCGGATTATTCTCTATCGACACCTATTTCCGTACTTCATTTTTTTGTCAATTCTATTTTATTTTTTGTAATTTAATGTTGTCATAGATCTATAGCAAAAATTGCATCAAAACAATTTGAAGGGATTATTGAACGTGACATTTGATATGGACTATGTCAATCTATGTCAATATGTAAGTTTTTAATTTTTTAATTTTGTTTATAAAAAATTAACAAAATAATTACTTTGTGTGTCTTTATACATAATAAGCCGATTACAAGACCAATGTTATTATTGTAGTCTATTTGTTAAAATATGCATATGTATAATTATGGCTCACTTTAAAAACATAAAATTTTAATTTAATCAATGTTTATTATTAGCAAACTAATTTTTACATATATCTTATATATATATATATATATATTTTGGGCAAGATTTGCAGGATCTCAAGTCTCATGTTATCAAATTTAGATTTTATATGAAGTTTCATTGTACAGTTTTTTTAGTTAAGATTAGTAAATATTGAATTTTTTAAAGGATGTGTACATATTTTAATGTGCATATATTTTATTTATCAAATATGTTAATATTGCATTTTTCATTGTACATAATTATTCATATGATTTACATGTATATTATTAGAAAAAATAATATCAAATTTATATTATAATTTTAAACGAGTTTGCACACGCGTCGCGTGTGCCCAGCTGCTAGTATATATATATATATCAACTCCGCTACGTAGCTCGAAATATCAAAGGCTCGAATGGCTTGAAATCCCAAAACGACGTCGTTTTAGGATATTTTTTTTATTCTCTTACCGGTAAAATAATATTTTCCGTACCATTTGGGTCATTCGAGCTCTACGCATTCGAGCTACGGATCATTTTCGTATATATATATATACAACAATGTTAGGTACCTCAAAATTTTGTGGCTCAAATGTCTTAAAACGACGTCGTTTTGAGTGTAAATGAGTGTAAAACGACGTTGTTTTGACAGATTTAAGCTATTTGAGACACAAAATTTTGAGTTACCAAACATTTTTCATATATATATATATATATATATATCAGTAGTGATAGAGGCATCGAATTCGAGGCCTCGAATTTGGCTCGAATGCCGTTTTTTTTTTTTGGTTGCTGATATTGAATCAATAATGATACGTGGACTACATCTGTGTAATATATATTTTTTAAAAATTTAATATAAAATATTATACATTTCGCACTATTTCATCATATAAAATTATATGAAATTAACAAAATTTAACCAACAGCTTAACTGATCAGTCAATTTTATCACTTAAGCGGTCCAACTTAATTGATTGATCAATCAGACTGTTGATTAAAATTCGTTAATTCTGTATAATTTTGTACGATGAGTTAGTACAAGATGTCTAGTTTTTTGGCACACCCCTACACATAACTACTTTTAAAAAAAATTAAGAAAAAAAAAACGAACACTGCCTAACAAATAAAATTAAATTAAATTAAAAAAAAATTGATCAGTCAATTTTATTACCCAATCAATCCAACCCAACTCACTTATAAAATGTTTAATTTTTTAACACACCCCTATATATAATCACCCCTATAAAGAAAAAAGAGAAAAAAAATTAAAAAAAAAAACCAAACTAACACAGCTTTGAAAAAAAAAAATATATATATGGATTTCGAGGCAAATTCGAGGCCTCAAATTCGAGGCCTCAACCATTTTCCTATCAACAATGATAGAGACCACTAATTTTGAAACTCTAAAAAGACCACTAATGACATGACACTCAATAAAAAAAGAAAAAAAAATACAAAACTAAGGCCAAAACATCAAATCATTCATAGTAGGGTCTACTGCCACATCATTAGTGATAGCATTAATTAGTGCTTCCACTCATTTTCTTTTCGACAATGTTACGTAGCTCAAATTTTGTGGCTCAAAAGTGGCTCAAATGGCCAAAACGACGTCTTTTTGAGTACAGAACAACATAAAAATGGCCAAAACGATGTCGTTTTTGCCATTTGAGTCACTTTTAAGCCACAAAATTTGAACTACGAGACATTTTCTTTTTCTTTTTCCTATATATATATATATGGAAAAAGATTAGGAGCTCTAAATATAGGGCTCTAAAAGAGCTCTAATGAGTTGGCATCCACTCATGATGTGATGTTTGTGCCTTTCTTTGTTTTTTTTTTTTGGCTTTGACACATCACTAGAGCTCAAATTAGAGCTCTAGATTTAGAGCTTCCTATCATTTCCCATATATATATGAATAATGCGACCCCCTTTTGGGGGTCACCCTTCACCTCCATTTGTCACGTGGCGGGTGGTGATTGGAGGAGCAGGAAAAAAAAGAAAAAAAAAAGAAAATGTAACTAATGAGAGAGAGAGGGGGTCAAAAGGGGTGGGAGGAAAAGGGGGATGAATCATTATTATATATATATATAGAGTAAAAAAATGATTTGGGGCTCGAATTGTGTTCCCCAATGGCACGAAAATAATGCACGCTCTCTCTCCTCTCTCACCGCTAAGATATCATTCTCTCTCCCCTCTCAACTCTTGAAATCCTCCAGAGCTGCGATTCAACTGGTTTGCAAAACCCTCTCATTCGGAGCTGCGATTCAAGGATTCAAAACTCTCTCGCTCTCTCGCTCATCGCTTTCAGAACCGGAGCTGCGATTGAACTCTTGAAAACTCAGGTCAGTGCTCTCTCTTTCATCCCTCTCGTCTCTGTGTTGGGTAAAGACACCGACTGAGGTCACTGATCCCTCTCTCATCCCTCTCGTCTCTGTGTTGGGTAGACAAATCGAAGTTGACTCCTCTCATAGAAACCAGACATCTCAAATCTAGGGTTTTGCAGTGGCTTAAATTTCTGTATTGTGCCTTCAATTGCTGTTAGAGTTATGATTTTTCCCATCATTTTGTGTGATGATTTGTGTCTTGACCTGCGATAGGAACCCAACTTTAGGATTGTTATTTTTATTTTTTAAAGTTAGGATTGTATGACTGTAGTGTATGAATTTTTTTTTTTTTTGGGATTATGAATTTAGGATTGTTATTTTCATTTGAGAGTTGGATTCTAAATTTAGGATTGTGAATTTTAGTGTTTATGAATCTGCATTGTTATTATTTTTGGGATTGTGAATGTTAGTGTTTATGAATCTGCATTGTTGTTATTTTTAGGATTGTGAGGCATGTAATTGGCTTTTTCAATGAATGTGCCAACCATAAACACACAGAATTGATATACGTTTAATCAAATTTAATGACCAAAAACAGAGTTCTGGTGATGCTATACTCAAGCTTAACTCTTAGCTCTTAGTCTTTATGAAATAAAAAGCAGAGTAGTGGTAAATTTAGGATTCTATGAATATAGGATTGAATTTAGAATTTAGGAATGTTATTTTCATTTGATTTGGGGCTTGTAAATTTAGGATTCTATGAATATAGGTTTCTTTTGTTTTATTTCTTTTGTTCTATGAATATAGGATTTGTTTTGTTTAGGATTCTATGAATATAGGATTTGTTTTGTTTTATTTGTTCCGTATCTGTTTCATTTCATTTGTTTTGTTCTATGAATATAGGATTTTACAGTTGGATGATATGAATGTGAATTCTATGAATATAAGTTTGTTTTGTTTTATTTTTTAACTTCAATATGCATTGCTGGAAATTTTGTTTGGGGCTTATATAAATTTAGGATTGTTATTTAGATTTAAGAGTTGGATGTTAGTGTTTATTGTACTTCAAAACAATTTGAACCCAAATTCATACATTGAAGACCATATTTATAAACGGTAGTGGTAATGCACCAACCATAAACACACAGAATTGATATATGTTTAATCAAATTTAATGACCAAAAACAGAGTAGTGGTAATGCTATACTCAACCTTAACTCTTAGCTCTTAGTCTTTATGAAATAAAAAGCAGAGTAGTGGTAATACTATACTCAAGCTTTAACAATATAAAAAACAGAGTGAGAAGACTTTTATGAAGAGAATAAAAATTTATAAGAAAATAAAAATTTCCCTAGATTCAAGCTTAACAAGAAAATAAAAATTTATAAGAAAAAATAAATAAAAAATCAACCTGAACAAAGCACAAGCACATTTAGTGACAAGATAATAAAAAAATTTCGTTGTTGCTCACAAAGTGAGAAGACTTTTACGAAGAGAAAAAATTGTAATCACAGGTACCTTTAATCTCAGTTTGAACAAGAAAATAAGAAAATACAAACTCAGTGATTCAAGCTATAAAAAACTCAGTTTGTCATCACAAGTACCTTTAATCTCGGTGATTCAGTGAGTAGAGTGAGTATTTCGCAGAGATTGACGAACGGTGAGATTCGGTGAGTATAGTGAGTAGTCGAGATTGATGTCGATTAGTTTCTCTCTCTCTCGGCAGAGATTTACGAACGGCGAACACCACATTCAGTATTTTGCTGGTCATCGGTGGTCAATTGGGTCAGTGGTCAGCGTCGGTCACTCGCAATACTGGTCACTCTCAGTTCTTCTTCTTCGACTAGTTCCTCTCTCTCTCTCTCTCTCTCTCTCCCTCTCCTATTTCTTTCTTTATTTCTAACGCGCGTGGTGTCAATCAAATGTTGTGCAACTGGGCAAACAATACAAAAAGTGCCTTTATCACTTTCGGGTCATTCGAGGGGGCTCCTTTTTGAGCTATGTAGTGGAACCGATATATAATAGTAATTTCTTAAATTTTGTGTCCCCCTCCCCCTTCTTTTTTTTTTTTTTCTTTTTTTTCGGGTTGCGTGCTTGTGAATGGTGTATGCTTGATTAAGAAAAAAGGAAGGCTTTTAAAGACTTTTTAAACAAATGATAAAAACAAATGACAACAAAATCAATAAGTGGAAGCCACAGAGAGCCTCCACCACCATCAACAGTTGCACATAGACGCTGCTGTCTGCTCTGCTTCTAAACTTTTAAGCGATGTGCCCTTTCCAAACAAAGTTTTGTTTTCTTTTTCTTTTTAATTTTATTTGTTTATGAGGAGCATAGGAGGTCATACATTAATTTGAAAAGATTGGCCTAATAATAAAAACTAAGGAATAAGAGTTAAAAATTTGAGTTCAAATCATCTAAAAATATCACTATAAATTTATTTGGATTATTGAAATTAGACTTTTGATGAGACCTACGGGTCTAAATAATACCATCCAGTCCACTTTGCAGACCGAAGACAATCTGGATCCATTATTAAAGTCAAAATAAAAAAAAAAAAAATTACAATTACTGATTGCCTCAATGTGAAAGACCTTGTGGCTAGTTTTGGCATTGTTTTCTTTAATGTATTTAGCTCCAACAGTTCTAAGATTTTATAGCTTCTATAAGTTTTTCAGAATATTGTCTAATTGGTTTTGCACAAACGAATTCAAATTTGAATAATATGATTTTTCAAGTTTGTTTACAATCTGAAAATTTATTCTAGATAAAATATGTTTTAGTAATAAAAGTAAAATTAAACCAAATAGGTTAGGATTAATTGGTCACCATGACTTTCATAAGGATTTAGGCCAAGTTTGGGTAGTTTAAAAAAAGCCAAAAAGTCAAAAAGTTACTCAAAAAGTTAAAAAGTCATCACTATTCACCAAAAGTCAACAATTACGGCTGCACAATTCCCAATTCTAATTTTCTCCTACAAACTAATTTTTACAATTTTTTATTACACATTTTTCTATAAAAAGTCAAAAAGTTAACCCAAACATTCATATTTTCAACCTCAACTTTTTAGTCTAAAAAGACAAAAAGTGCACTTATTTAGTCTTCCCAAACTTGGCCTTAGTCCCTAAGGAGGTCATGGGTTTAACTCTCCCTAAGGAGAGTTGAATTAAGGGGGCAAACACTTGGGCCTTGTTTGGTTTGTGTTTCTCAAAAAATTTTGGGAAAAATTCTTTACAAATAAGTTTTCAAAAGTAATCAAACCAAACAAATTTTCCTAAAAATTTTATCCAAAACTTGTTTGGTTTACAAATTTTTCAAACAAATCTCTCTCTCATACACATCAAATCAATCACTTTTTCCAAAACTCTCTCTCAAAGTAATTTTTCAAAACATCTTTTGAAAAAAAATCAAACCAAACAAATTTTTGTACTTTTTATCTCAAAACATGTTTCTCAAATACAAACCAAACAAGGCCTTGGTGTTTTGTATAGGAAACAAGGCCTTGGTGTTTTGTATAGGATGGAGATGCTAACTCCCATAGGTTACTAAGCTAACTACTAACAATTAACTTTTGTTGATCCAAAAAAATTAAAAGTAAAATTAAACAGATAGTTTCTTGACTGCCTTAGAAGGAGAAGAATTGCATAGAAGTTGTAATTGATATGCTATAAAATGAATGTAAATCTGCCAAATTTTATAAACCAAGTGGTGGTTTTGTGGACAAGGACAAGGTGCGATGACTACTCAAAGACAGAGGTTACTATTAAAAGACATAAATAATTGAGTTTAAAAGTAAGAAGTGAGCAATTAATTGAACTTCATCATGTATATTTCAATTGAGAAGCCTTTTAGGGAAAAAATTATCCGGAAGATTAAGTGATCGTGTGTTCATTCAATGGCATGTTGTTATTTTTCTATTATTTTATTGTATTTAGAACCATGTAATTATTAGGTCTTTATTGTTGATTTGGCACATTGTCAATATGAAATTCTTAGAAGAATGATAACTTCCAATCCTTTACTCTCTCTCTCTCTCTCTCATCAAATTTTATTGAAATTTGATTAAAAACTTGATCTGATATTGAACACTAGTACTTATTGTCTTTCTCTTTCTCTCTCATTACATTTTTTTGAAAAATTTCAAACGTATCTTATAAATTTGTTTTTATCATTTTTAATAAAAAGGAATCATCTCCAATCCTTATTCTTTTTTAAAATTTCATCAAATTTGAATGAAAATATAACTATTAAAAATTTGATAATGTTTATCCTGTAGTTTGGTAAAAAAAAATTGCCTATACCTTTTAGCTTCCTTTGTAACTCCATTTAGTGCTCATTTGGGAATTAATTTTTTTAGTAATATTTTCAATTAATCAGACATGTAAAAAAAATAGAGAAAATAATTTAACAACTTGTAATAACTTTTTTGCTAAAATATTTGGTTTCCAAACATACCCTTATGTCAGTTGTTGGGCCGATTGAGCTTGTTTCTGTTTGGGTCTTGGCCCATTTTGATTCTTCAATAAGTGATTCCTTTTCTTTCCCTTACGATCGAATCTCAGGGAAAAAAAACCCAAATCGCGGGAGTGAAGGGTTTCGAGACAATCAACATTGTCAAACAGAGCAAGCTTGCCCTAGACTAGAGTGTTCCTCACTACTCTCCCTCTCATCGATACGGTAATCCTCTCTCTCTGTCTCTCTCTCTCTCTATATATATATATATGTATGTGTTTGTTTATGAAACGTTTTGCATCAAGAAACTCTATTTTCTTCAATACGCCCATGAATTATAAATGTCATGTTTAGTTTATTTTATAGCAAATACATTAGGATTTAGGGCCAATAATAGCATAATATTAGCCATCTAAATCTCATATATATCGATCCATATGTAATTTTTATTTCAACTAGTTTATGGATTTATAAAAAATTGCATACATCAAAATCATCACTCATGGTCCCGTATGTATGAATGATTATTCATAGAAGCACACTAGATATAATTGAAATGTCATCAGAAACAGAGCAGAGAATGGAATCATTCAGGCTAGAGAGAGAGAGAGAGAGATCGCAATTGATGCATAGTTATAATTGAAATGTCTTTGTTGAAAGTTCTAAAGATCCATCGCTGTTTTTGGGCTTAGTGTCTCCTTTTGCTTTCATGATTTGGTTAAATTGTTCATGATGCCAATTTTTGGAGCAATTGATGCATAGTTTAGTTTGTTTTGAAGTCGTAAATCTGTTTATACGTATTTTAGTTTTGTTTTATAATTGCATGTTATGTGTTTGATTTATTCTCCAAGTATACACAACTTTTTGTAATCTATTATACCAAGGCTTCGCGGTGTAGTTCTTTTTATTTTATTAGGCAAACATAATATACATGAAAATATTCCTGTATGGTGTTAGGTTTGCTGAGTCTTTTGATCTTTTGTTTTCCCATGTTTGTTGCAATAAAGTATTAGATATTGTGAAACTAGAACATGAAAACATCGGGCTTCAACTTCTTGAAGCCACTTATATGAAAGGGCTTTAATTGTCTCCTACACAACATCATGAATAGATTTCAATTGTCATTTGTATTTTGATTTAAGACTTTAAACTATTAATATTGTTTTATATTAAAATGCTTTTTTATAAATGTTGTATTACAATGTTTATGTTTTTAAACTTGGATGAGCTTTGGGGTTGCTCAACTCGGGGGGTTAAATGTAGAATGATATTTTTTTACACATTGTTAGAACTGTAAAATGATATTATCTTCTCGTTGCAAAGATATTGGTTTAGGGTTTACATTGTTGAAGTAGCCGTAAATGTGCGTGAGTAGTGATACATCGTGTAGTGAAAAAAGAAGAAGAAGTGTGTAGTGATATAATATACATTCTGTTCTTTGATATATTGTGTGTAGTGAAAAAAAAGTTATCAATAGTTCAATATCATTGAATATTAAGTTAGTTTAGGTTGAACAAATGCTTCATAAAAGGGTGCTTTTAGTATGGAAATGCTATAGGGCTATAACTAATTTGACAATACAAAAACATAGAAAATGGTTTGTCTTTGTAATATTTGTTATCTCAAACATTCTGTTAATGACAGTCCTTTGGGATGGACAAAAACAGAATATCTGCACCTAGAAAAGAAAAAGAAACTTCTCAAGAACCTTAATTTTCTGACATTTTGTGGCATCTGACCTGCTTTCCATTATTTTTTAGTGCGAATCAGTTGGTTATTTTTCCTTAACTTGAGAAATATGTTGCAAGGTTTCCATTTTGGTTATACTGCTTTCGTTTTTTGCTGATTTAATCAAGTCAAATCATTAATGGGGGTGGGGGGATTCTTGATAAACTACACTTCTAGAGCTCTATGAATTAAAGATGAGTGTCAAAACAAAGAGAGTGACATAATCAGATGGTCCACATTTATGCTTATCTTAATTAGGTAAGGATGGAGGAAGGAGAATTAGGTACAATATGTAGATCAAGTCTCAAGACTCATCATTATGGTTGCTGCTCAATTGACAGCTGAAAGTTATAGATCTTCCTTTCTTTATTTATTTTCCTTTCTCTCTCTGTTTTTTTTTTTTTAATTTATTTATTTTAATTGGGGGAATTTCATGTCAGTGGGAAACGGGGCAAAAAATCTTTCTCTCTCTGCTTTTTTTTTTTTTTAATTTATTTATTTTAATTGGGGGAATTTCATGTCAGTGGGAAACGGGGCAAAAAATCACAGAAGGTGGCAATCCTTGTGGGTGCAAGTTTCCTAGATTTCTTCACGCTACTAGTGGCAATAATCACTAATAGTTTTCTTGAATGTCTGAACTAAACTCGTATGTTTTTGTCATTGGATATATGGCTTCTTCATAGAATAAAAACGAGTACATGACTTGCATTATCCATGTATTATGTTCTAGGCTGATTCAATTTCATTTACTTTGTTATTTTATCATCTTTCCAATCTTTGACCAAAATAGTTATTACCTAATGTTTCTAGAGGATTGGATTGGGACATAACCTCCTCTTTGGTTTGGGAAATGTGTTTGCCCCTTTAATTGCATTGATCTTAAACGTAGATCATTATGATGTGCTTCTTTTTTGAACTATTACCACTTCAAACTGTAGTGGGTGCGCTCAATTGAAGAGGGTATAATGAGTTGGATCTTGATGAAGTAACTTAACGTGAATATGTCTTGTCATTGCTTTTATGAATATTATGCTTCTCTGTCTGAGATTATTTCTTGACACTCAAATGTTTTTGCATTGTTCTTGCTCCATTATGATTTTTTTCAAAGAAGTGATGAAGTCTAACAATTTCCTGCTTGCATATTTTACCATTTGAACTAGGTAAGAATGGGCCGGAAAGCTGGTGGGCTATATATAAATCCAAAGAAATTTGGTTCTCTACGGAAACCTTGCATGAAGGAAATGATAACTTTTCTTAATTGTTTGTCTCTTAACCACAACAGTGATGAAAAGTGCGTTAGGCATAAAGAGCTTTTGAGTGCATGCATGGATGCTCAGGTGATGCACTTGAGTAATTTCTAAGTCTCCTATTTTGTCATACTTTCCTTTGAAGTAGAAAACGAAAAAAATTGTAATTTATTACGAGATGCTGATAATTTTGCTTGACATGTCCAATTGCTATTTACACTTTTTCCTTGTGATGAACTTTGTTGCAGACTAACAATAGCAGGAAACCTTGGGGAAGTATTAATTATCATCTGCAGAGGCTCAACAGGGGAAGGAAATAGTATTATCACAATGGAGAGTTTTCGACTCTTGTATGATTCCTCAATTTGTTTTGGATGTATCACTAGTGGCAAGAGTTGGGGCATGTTTTAAAAACAAAATTATTGAAGTGGTTCATCATACTGCCCTGGCCCATTAAGGTGAGAAATTTCAGAATAATTTGTGGACATTTTTTTTTGGTTTCCCGAGAGATTTAACTCATCTAAGTATCCACTGATGGCATTGTTTATTTTGCAAATCAAAGATTTTTAACTGCTGGCCTTGGACTATACAGAAGTTCCTGTGCAGGGAATGCAATGAGTTCGAACTTTATCCCTGTTCCTCAAAAAGAGATTTTAATGGCAGTTGGACTGCTTTTTCTTTTCTTTTTTTTTAAAAATATATTTTTAATCAGTCAATTGGACAGAGTCGTTACACCTCACTAAGAGGTCAATTGTATCCTGGCCTTGAATCAAACCTACTTGCATTATTCCAGGGACCGTAATTAGTTCATACTGTATTACAGAATCATTCCCTCTTAAGAGAGTGAAATACACCTCACATTTGGTACCTAGAACTAGAATTGAAGGCACGTGATACATTTTGTTAACTTTTTCAACACCCATAGGAACAAATCAGACAGCAATATTCTGAACAATGATCTGAATCTCCTGATATACTAGACTTTTTTTATTTTGTGTGTGTGAATTCAAAATAAAAGATGTATAATTAGTAGATATTGATGAACTCCCTGTATGCAGTTATAATGGTGAGACAACTATTGCGAAAAATCTGCACTATGCTTTAAATTGTCTTTAGTTTGACAAAAGAAAGAATCAGTGAGCAACATAGCACATATGAGCAATTCTTTAATTTTTGGACAAATGACACTGATCTCCCTAAGTAATGAAGATTACAGTTAGCCTTATAATCTTGGCATAATTATACCAGAACTTGTGTAAATTGGATACAATTAATCCATTAGTCTAGAACTCTAAATTGTTGATAACAGGCTGCAATGTAGATGAGACTTAAGATTTGAGAATTTTTTGGATTATTGCTTTTACATTATTTCGCTACTATGAAGATTGAATGTTGCACAAAGAAACCAACATTTTTTTTTTTTTAATCTCTTTTTGGTATGTTTGGAGGTTTTTTCATTTTTGGATTTGGTAAGTTAGGTTTTCCAACCCCATGAAGGAAAAATTAGGTTCTAAGTTTGTTGCTATAGGATCTACACTTGCATGGATTTTCCAATTAAGAATGCCAGCTTTGAATAACTTTGCTCTGTCATGGTAACATGACATGTCAATTTGGCACACCATCTTTTGAGACTATGGGTTTACATTACATTGATGGGGAAATGAGGACCTTGTTCTTTCACAAGGGTACTAGAGCAAAGTCTTGGCTATAAAGTAATCAGTAGCTCATGTTATGGCATCTATTTTCATGTCAGATGCATGTGCAATTATTTGCAAAAAAGTTTCTCCATCAACAACCAATGAGCAGCCACTTGATAAATTATATATATAGATATTTGAGGGTTCAATCTTATTCACACATTGGGTTAGATGTCGTGTATATTTGATAAATTACGCAATTTGAATTAATTGTGATATATGTTTGTTTACATGCCTCGTCAAACATTTCAACACAATTTTTTTATATTCGACAATAGGCATGGCTCCATTGATAGATTGTGGGACTTTTTTATTTTTTTATTTTTAATTAGTAAATCTAAAAGCACAGAAATTGAACACTTGCATTAAGAAAAGTATATTGCATATATAAATAGATGCTAGTCGTGACAAAAAAAAATAAAATAATTATAGAATGAGAAGTGTTTGCATCCATAATTACTTGCGAACATTTTAGGAAGTCTACATGCATCGAAATGCGTAGATATGAGACAATATTTGAAATTATATATATTAATTTTTTGAGTAATATTTTTATCTTATTCGATGAATTTTTTCTGTGCAGCACTGTTGAATTTGTTTTTGGATGAGTAGCATTTGGTGGGACTTAAGGCTTGGTTTGGTTTGGTTAGCATTTGGTTGTTATATATTGTTAGTGCTCTTGGTGGCTTTTCGTTTCAACTAGCGCTGATGTTTGGGCATTTCAATTGACTAGCACATAAAAGCTTGAAAATGTTTGAATCCTTTCCAACAATACACCTCTCTCTTGTTGAGGAGGATCCAAGGAGTTGCTTTTAGCATGAAACTGAGCAAAAGCATTTCTATGTCAAAGACAGGAAGGGAATTAGATTCCAACACCACCATCTACCTTGAACCTTCCTTCATTCTTATATTATATATATATATAAGCTTTCATGATTAAACAAATGAAACAGATGGCACCCATCGACATACAAATGTTGATCTGATGTCCAGATCACAAACTTTCTTGTAAAATATTACTGTCATATTATTTTATATAATAATTTTAATTTTGTACTCTTTTTTTGATATATATAAGAGGTATAATAAAACTTTATGTTCTTATAGACATGCAAAAACATCATTAAGAAAAGGAGAATTTTACAATACACACCTCATACTATAAGCATCTTTTGTCACGATATTTTCTTCTTTAATTATGATCAATTTTGTTCTTTAGTTATTATGGCATTATTTTGAGATGATTGGTTATGCCTTATGCAGCGTTTGGTTATGGTTTTTTTTTTAATTATGATTCAGAAAATATGAAGTTATATTATTTTTTTTTTTTAATTATAAAGTACATATGATACACAACTTTAACGGGTGTGTACTATAATCTTTTCTTTAACAAAAATTGAACTTTCGGTTTGAACCCTACCCTTCTTGGTAGGGTGGTGGTGAATGATGATGAAGCTTATCCTACTCGAATCTAATGCTTCTCTCATCATATAGAATAATATTACATGATGCAGAGAGAAATTGATATTTCTTCCTCATTGTGTCAGACGAGGAAATTTTTATTTTTATTTTGTTATTTATAACTATTTATGAATATATACGATATATACATATATATAGTGCATATGAGGGAATTGGATCATGGTGATGGGTAACTTGCATTGTTTTCACCAGCAAAATTCCTTGTATATATGGTAGCAATAATGCTTGCTAGTGACATTTAACAATCTTTTTAATATATTCAGAAGTTTTAGTGAGCACCATCACAAGGTGTGTGAGTTCAACAAAATAATCTTATTGACATTATATATTCTTTTGTAAGTTGAATGCAACTAATTGTTTCATTTATTTTAAAAATAGAGTTATGAGATTGAACCCGTGCAATTGGTGTTTTAGAGCCTATCATAAGTTTTGTTTAGTTGGTTTGAATCGTTTTCTTATAAGTTATAATATATAAATCTTTTATTAAAAAAAATAAAATTAATTTAATAATTATAATAACATGATTTTATTATTTTTAAAAAAATAATGTTGATAAGTACTAATTACATTTGGTAACATATTAGTGCTTTCTAGACTAGACAAAAAGACAAATCTATCAAACCATGTAATGTGAATGTAACAACCCTCACATTACTCCAAGTTCATAGAAGGAAGCTGATTATCTACTAAAATTCAATAACAGTGATACTACAAACATCAAAAAAAAAAAATTCTAAAATTTTAATGTGCGGATTAAATTCATTTTATATATAAATTTCAAAATATATTAATTGAATCACACTTATTTATTTTAATTTTGAGTAAAATTTATGATACAAATTGTGAGTTTGTAAGTTTTTTATTTTAATAATATATAGATAGGAAGACCCGTCAAAAAAGGAATTAACATAGGCAACAATAAATCCCGACCATGAGAATCTGATGATAAGGACCGATTGACGCACGGTTATCCCTCATTGTCTCTCCTTCTCAAGCCTTCAGGGCCCTCCATCTCCATTACATGGTTTTCACGAGCTCATCCCATGCCCCTCTCTCTCTCTCTCTCTCTACATAGGTTATTTCTTTCTTTTTATCCTCATCAATCACTTTAATGGAGTTAAAGGACTCAAGATTTTTATTGTTGCTAAAAAAAAAAATTACAATGAGAGGAAAGGAAAAGAACAGTGAAAAAAATACTATGTAGTATGATCAAAGTAATATTTTAAAAATTAAAAAGCTTATGCCTAGTTGACACAAGTTCACTCATGCTTGCCATGCCACTTAATTTGGCCAAAGAGGCAAATTGTTTTATTTTTTATTTTTTGTGAGTTAATTACTTAAAAATTCTATTTATCCATGTTATGATAGCTCAGGTCTTATCTAAGATTTTTTTAATCAATAAGTTCTATTTAATAAAACTGAAAATGTTATTATTTTTTCTTAATTTGTGAAAACTAAGAATATTATCAATTTTACATATTAATGTTTTAGATAATTGTTTCACTAACTGATGAAAAAAACAGAGTATGAGATTAAACGCTTTTACTTTTTTACTTATTAGTTTTTTCATTTTTAAAGTTTTTTTTTATTTTTTTATTTTAAGTTTTGCACATGAATGTTCCATCATCATGCTTCTTTAAAGGCACCAAATTTTTAGTTTTTCACAAAAAAAAAAAAAAAAAAATTCAGTTTTTTCAATTTTTCTAAAAAAAAAATTGCACATGATTTTTTTTTTTTAGTTTTTTCAACTTGAAAATTGATGTTTTAAAGTTTTGAAAATCAAAATAAATGTCAAATTATCATATTCCTTTATGAATAATCATAAATGATGAATAATCATTGTTTGAGGGATAATTTTGGCTATTTAAAATTTAATGAGATTTGAAGGTCCATGCATGCTCACTTCGGAATCTAAAGACAGGGTAGGAAAAGCCATCTACTACTTGAGCAAGAAAATGATGGGTTACGAGACCCACTATACTCCGTTAGAGAAAGCTTGAGTAGCCTTGGTATGGGCTAGCAGGAAGTTAAGGCACTACCTATTAGCTCACATTGTAATCCTAATTTCGAGATTAGATCCCATCAAATATCACTTTGAGAAATCGGAGCTTATGGGTAGGCTAGCCCATTGGTTGCTTCTTCTCTCTGAATTTGATCTCAAATATGTCACCCGCAAGTCGATCAAGGGAAGAGTTGTAGCGAAGTTCCTGGCAGACCACCCGGTAGAAGGAGATAAGGCGGTGGAATACTTGTTCCTAGATTAAGCTATTTTGCAAGTTAAGGAGGAAACTTGGACGATGTACTTTGACAGAGCGTCCAATCAGTACAATTATGGGATAGCTATGTTGCTGATAGCATCCGACAGCTCCTATATACCTTTAGCCTTCAAACTCCGATTCATGGTGTCCAATAATAAAGCAGAGTATGAAGCATTTATTGCTGGTTTAGAAGCCGCCCTGGAACTAGGG